TTCATTCATTTATTCATTCATTCATTCATTTATTTGACTTTGATGGCAGGCTGCCCATTTCCAAAAAAAAAAAGACTCGCTTCTTTTCTCTGCATCCTACAACGAACCCAACAATTTTGCCGCACCGGTAACGGTCCAAGGGAGGCTCCTTCTGCGCGCGCTCTCCCAAAACACCACAGACTGGGACGAGCCACTTCCGCCAGAACAGAAGCAAGACTGGGAGACGTGGCGTACATTCCTAAGTTGTCTCCAAAGCGTCCGCATGCAGCGCACGTATGTCTCCATCTCACCTGCCGCTGCACCTAAGAAAGAATTGCATGTCTTCTCAGATGCGTCAACGAAGGCGATAGCAGCTGTAGGATACATCAGAGTACACGATGGGGAGAGCCACATTCATGTTGGTTTTGTCATGGGAAAGGTGAAACTAGCACCACAACAAGATCACACCGTACCAAGGTTGGAACTCTTCGGTGCCGTATTGGCCGTAGAACTCGCAGACCTGATAACGAAAATGATAGACCTTGAGCTACAATCCACCACCTTCTATACGGACAGTAAGGTGGGGTCGGGCTACATCCATAACCAAAGCAGATGCTTCTACGTCTATGTAAGCAATAGAGTGGAAAGGATTAGAAGATCTTCAAGTCCTGAGCAGTGGCAGCATATGCCAACAGATCAGAACCCAGCAGACCAGGCTACGCGGTCCATTCCTGCATCACAGTTGGCGGAATCAATCTGGCTAAAGGGTCCTGAGTTCTTGGCTCATCTAGACAGCCTGATGTCCCAGAGACCAGAACACTATGCGCTTCTAGACCCAGATCAAGATGCCAATGTTCGACCTCAGGCACCCAGTAAATCGCTCAAACAGGACAAGAAAATGACCGCCCAGGCCATCTACTTGTCAACAATGATCAAGGAGACAGAGAAACCACCACTTAACCATTCCCTAGAACCAGCTCGCTTCGAATGCTTGTCCAAATGGAGACCTCTCGTATTGGGCGTAGCAGTGATCGTCCGTTTCCTTCATCGCGAGATAAACTTCTCAGACAGCTATCTCCAAGCCGAGAGAGGGATTCTACGAAGTGTGCAACAAGATGCATACCTGACAATATTCGAGTGTCTGAAGGCTAAGAAGCTTATCCCGGCGTCTAGTTCACTGCTGAAGTTGAACCCGTTCCTTGATAGCCACGACTTACTTCGAGTAGGAGGGTGTCTAAATAAGACTAAAGTAGCCCCAAACATCAAACACCCTGTCATCTTTCCTGCTCGTCAACATGTAACAAACCTGCTGGTCCAACACTACCACGAAACCGTCCTCCACCAAAGCCGTCACTTCACAGAAGGTGCCATCAGAATGGCTGGATTCTGGATCATGGGAGCCAAAATGTGCATCGCTGCCGTTTTATACAGATGTCTGCATTGTCGCAAACAGATGGCTGACCTGCCACCCGAGCGCCTTAGTCCCGGACCGCCATTCACCAACGTAGGCCTAGATGTCTTTGGCCCGTGGTCCGTGACTGTTCGTCGGACCAGAGGTGGTCAAGTCAACAGCAAACGTTGGGCCATCCTCTTCACATGTCTTAGCATTTGAGCCGTTCACATTGAAGTCATCAAACCCATGGACACCTCCTGCTTCATCAATGCTCTAAGGAGGTTCCAAGTCTATAGAGGCCCAGTTAAGACATTTAGATCTGGCTGCGGAACTAACTTTGTCAGAGCCTGCAAGGAATTACAGATTGACAAAGGCATTCGCCTTGATTCGGCAATTGACGAATACCTAAAGGCCCAAAACTGTGTAGGGACATTCAATCCTCCCCATGCATCCCACATGGGAGGAGCGTGGGAGCGCATGATTGGAGTAGCCCACAAAATCCTGGACTCCATGTTGACAAAGACACCCATGTAGACACATGAGATCCTCACCACCCTCATGGCAGAAGTGGCAGCTATCATCAACGCTCGACCTTTGGTTCCAGTTTCCTCGGATCCTGAAAATCCCAACTATCCTCACCCCGGCCACCTTGCTAACCCAGAAGACAGGTGAAATGACCAGCACCATTAGGGAACTTTGTTCCCAAAGACATGTATAAACAACAATGGAGACAACTGCTTGCCAACACCTTCTGGAAGCGCTGGAAGCAAGAATACTTGTCTACCCTACAAGATCACCGCAGATGGAAGACCAAAGAGTCTAGCCTCGAAGAAGGAGACCTTGTCTTGTTGAGAGACAAGGATGTGCATCGGAACTCATGGCCCATAGGGCTTGTGCACGAAGTTCTACCTAACTCTGATGGACTAGTTCGCCAAGTTGAAGTCTAGACCGTGAAGCCACGAGTCGTGTCGTGACTCACAGACTCGTTAAAAGGCTTTACACCAGACCGATCACCAACTTGGTACTGCTGCTGAGGAAGACCGAACTTGGAAGATTGAACCACGAGTTAAGCATGTTTTGTGTTTACCTCATAGTTGCATTGTTTGATGCTATGCCTTTGCTTATTTTAGTTAATAGTTAATTAATAGTGGAAATTGTATGATTCCAGGCGGGGAGTGTGCTGGTCAGAGTATATAGCTATCTTAGGAATTAAGAACTGTCCCCTTAAGGGATAGCCTTCTGGGTAATGTAGTTTTAAGTTACCTGGTCATATCTGTGTCCGGACTGGCTACTGGGAGGGACTTCTGTTTAATTACTGGATTTCCTGGCTACGTGCCAGCCAGCGAGGTCTTTATGAATTTCAGCCACTAGAACTGTTTGCTTCATTAGCATGGAAGAAACTATCTTTTTTTACCTGTGTGATGGCGTACAGATTATGCAAAGAATGTCAGAAGAATCCCTACAATAACTGTAAGTTAATGTCAGTTAATGTTTTGAGAATGCCTGATGAATTAAAGTAATATGCATGAAATCCTTAAATGGAGTTAATCTTCCCTTGCTTGATTCAGAACAGGTGGCAAGAACGGTTGTAAAATGGAGCAAAACTCACTTAAAAACTGTTTTGCTTGACCGTGGAAATTTGGGGCTTAATTGTGACCGTAAGTCGGGGACTGCCTGGCTGGCTGGATTGGTTGGTGGGTCATCAAATTGAGCGTTGGCTTTTAGCAACCACCTAGATCAGGGGTGGGGAACCTTGGCTCTTTTATGACTGGTGGACTTCAACTCCCAGAATTCCTGAACCAGCATGGGGGAAATATGGCCCCTTCATGACTGGTGAACTTCAACTCCCAGAATTCCTCAGCCAGCATGGCTCAGCTTGGAAACCTCTCCCTTTCCCCTCAGCATGGCTGGCTCAGGAATTCTGGGAGTTGAAGTCCACCAGTCATAAAAGAGCCAAGGTTGCCTAGACCGTTTTTTTCCTCCGTGCGTGCTGTGTGTGTCCCCAACCTGATCTTTCTGTGCAGCCCCCGCCTGCCCCAGCCATTTCCACTGTGCCAAACACCTCCCAGTGCATTCGAGGGGGGGGGCACACCACTAGGGTCTCTCTCTTCGGCTGCGCAGCTAACTCCAAGGAGGGGAGGGAAGAACCCCTTTTCTGCTGCAATCCGCCCCTTTGGTGTGTATGGGGGAAATTTCCTGCCCCTTGGCCTGGACAGCCCCCCCTCCCCAAGTGACTCCGCTGCCTACCTTGACATTACCCATGGCAGGACCCACTTCAGGAGAATCGCAGGAAAAAGGAGGTGGAATCCGGGATCCCCTGCTCCTTACTGCAGTTCTGGGGGGGGGGACAAATTGTGCCCATCATGGAGTGAGGGGGGGGGTCACTCCTGCCCCTCCCCCCCAGCTGGGCCAAAGGCAGCTGGAGCTCTTACAGCATTCCAGGTTTCGGTGAGCAAAACTCTGCTGTATTTTAGCACACCTGGGGGGGGAAATACCCTCCCGATTGGGGGGGGGAATCCGTTTCCCAGCCAACCAAGCCAGGAGTGGGGTCCCATCCAGGCCCCTGAAGGGCACCCAGGGTCCAAGTAGGCTAAAGCAAACACCCCCCCTTTGGACTGACCACTGGTGGCCATGAAAAGGGTCTTCCTTTTCACCCCCCCTCTTTGACTCCCGGTCCTGCAGGGTCCCTGGGATCGGTACCCAAGGACGACCCCCCCTCCCACCAGCCCAACAGACACAAAAAAGCACCAGCCAGGTACAAAAACCAAGAAAGGTGTTTGAGAATCTCCATAGACAAAGGTGTTTTTTCTTCAGTGAGTAGGAAGCGGCCGGCACAGTCCGAGCAAGCATGGGGGGCTCCAGCTGCCACTTGGGGTGGGGTGGGGGGTCTCAAAGGTGAGCATGCACAGCCCTGGCAACGGAAGGCAGTGGTGAGTCTGAAGCCAGGAAGTATTCAGGAGGAGATGCTCTACAGCAGTGTCCAAGCTGGCCACTTTAGGACTTGTGGACTTCCACTCCCATAATTCCCTAGCCAACTTTAGGACTTGTGGACTTCAACTCCCATAATTCCACAGCCATCTTAAAGACTTGTAGACTTCAACTCCCATAATTCCACAGCCATCTTGAAGATTTGTGGACTTCAACTCCCATAATTCCACAGCCAACTTTAGGACTTGTAGACTACAACTCCCATAACTCCACAGCCATCTTGAAGACTTGTGGACTTCAACTCCCAGAATTCCACAGCCAACTTTAGGACTTGTAGACTACAACTCCCATAACTCCACAGCCATCTGGAAGACTTGTGGACTTCAACTCCCATAATTCCACAGCCATCTGGAAGACTTCAACTCCCATAATTCCACAGCCATCTGGAAGACTTCAACTCCCATAATTCCACAGCCATCTGGAAGACTTGTGGACTTCAACTGTGGACTTCAACTCCCAAAATGCCACAGCCAGCTGTGAGGACTGGGGGATTCTGGGCGTTGAAGTCCACAAGTCTCAAAGTGGCCAGGCTTGGACACCTTTGCTCTGCAAGCAATCTTTGGTCTGGCAGTGTCAGGGAGATGGGGTGGGGGAGGCGCCTGTTTCTCCTGTGTCAGAAATGGGGAGGGGGCTTCCTTTGGTCTAGAAAAGAGTCCAGTGCAAATGCGGGAGAGGGGGGCTGTTCAGGGGCGCTCCGTCACGCGCAGCATTTGGTCCGTTTCTTCTTCTCCGTCATGTACAGGTCTCGCTCGTCCCCATGAATGCCTGGAAAGGGAGCAGAGTTGTAGGTTGGCATCCTGCAGCCCACCTGCCCCCCCCCTTTGCCTTAGAGCAGGGGTCTTCCAACTTGGCCCTTTGATGACTTGTGGACTTCAACTCCCAGAATTCCTCAGCCAGGCACGCGTGCCTGGCTGAGGAATTCTGGGAGTTGAAGTCCACAAGTCATCAAAGGGCCAAGTTGGAAGACCGCTGCTTGTGGACTTCAACTCCCAGAATTCCTCAGCCAGCGTGCCTGGCTGAGGAATTCTGGGAGTTGAAGTCCACAAGTCATCAAAGGGCCAAGTTGGAAGACCCCTGCTTGTGGATTTCAACTCCCAGAATTCCTCAGCCAGCGTGCCTGGCTGAGGAATTCTGGGAGTTGAAGTCCACAAGTCATCAAAGGGCCGAGTTTGAAGACCCCTGCCCTAGAGACTGTGGGAGGAGGACACAGCCAGGCGAGGATCCAGGGGGTTCTCCAGTGGGCTGGCAGAGAGGTCCACCCCATAACATCCCAGGGGTCTTTCATTCTTTAAAGAGCTCCCGCCCAAATGCACAGCTCCCCCTCCCGTTTCTCCCCACACAAGCACCTTGCAAGGTAGGCCAAGAGAGAGGGACCGACCTACAACCCCTCACCGGGCTGCCGAGACCCAGGGGGAATTGAATTAGGGTCTCCCTGGTGCCATCCAATCTGACCTGCCTCTCTTTCCTGTCCCAGCAGCCCCTCCCCTCCCATGATAGCATCACAGGTCGATGCCAGCTTGTCTGTCTGGTGTTCGCAGAGTGAGGGGGGAGACCCTTTAAAAGCAGAGGTTGACTGGGGGTGTCTCCCTTATGGGGGAAAAAACATTGTTCTGTGCTATGGGGAGGGGACCCGGCTTATGGAAATGGGGAGGGGGCTTTTGCTGTCTGTAGACCGGGGGCTGGGTTTGAAGCCATCTCAATTCTAGCCAGGTCTGGGCTGCCCAATTCCACATCACCACCAGAAGGCAGTAAATAATAATAATAATAATAATAATAATAATAATAATAATAATAATAATAATAATANAGAGAGAGAGAGAGAGAGAGAGAGAGAGAGAGAGAGAGAGAGAGAGAGAGAGAGAGATGATAGCAGGACTGCCAAAAGGGATTTGCACCCAGGATAATGCTGGGCCCCTCCCTGCCGACCCCCAGAGGGACAGAGGGTCCCCACGAGCTGCAGACACAGATGTGGGAAGCAGATGTGGCTTACCTGTGAGTGAGGAGACGGCCCAGTATTCAGCCTGCATCTCCTTTGCCACCTTCTGGGCGTCCCGCTCTATAAGGTTGTACTGCGCGGGTGTCTGTGGAGAAAGAGGAAGGCTCAGGGGGGCAGCAGGGGGCACCTGGTGGGGAGGGGGTGTGAAACATGGGAGCAGATCACACAGGTAACCGACACCTGGGTCAGGGCTGGGCAAGGATGGCGATTTGGCGACCCGTGGACTTCAACTCCCAGAATTCTTGGCAATTTGATGATCTGTGGACTTCAACTCCCAGAATTCCTGGCAACTTGACGACCTGTGGACTTCAACTCCCAGAATTCTGGGACTTGAAGTCCACAGATCGTCAAGTTACCATCGTGGCCCACCCCTGACCTGGTCCTGCTGCAGTGCCCGTCCTCTTGGGGGCTTTGGTGCCCTCCACCCATGTGGACTTCACTTCCCAGAATTCCTGTCTGGCTAGGAATTCTGGGCGCCGGAAGACACATGTGAAAAATCCCTAGATTAGGAAATGCTGGTCCTGTAAAGCAGCCTAAATAAGTGTCACAAAACTCCACGTCTGTTCCTTGACATCCCTTGGCTTAACATATTTATTTATTTATTTATTTATTTATTTTATTTAATTATTTTATTTATTCAATTTTTATCCCGCCCTTCTCCTTACGGACTCAGGGCGGCTGACAGCCTTATAAAACAGATACAACAATAAATACCCAATTTAAAACCTAATTAAAAAGAAATATTTACTATGGCCAATATAATTAAAATTTCTCTTAAAACCCCAGTAAAAATTCCCCTAGGCCAATCCCGCTTGTTGGAAAAGCCATGTCTTTAGGGCGCGGCGGAAGGAGGGGAGATCCAGGATCACCCGGATCTCTGGGGGTAGTTCGTTCCAGAGGGTGGGGGCTCCCACCGAGAAGGCCCTCCCCCTGGGGGTCGCCAGCCGGCACTGTCTGGCTGACGGCACCCTGAGGAGACCCACCCTGTGGGAGCGTACCGGCCAATGGGAGGTAATCTGCGGCAGAAGGCGGTCTCGGAGATATCCAGGTCCGATGCCATGGAGCGCTTTAAAGATGAGAACCAACACCTTGAAGCGCACCCGGAAGGCCACCGGCAGCCAATGCAGCTCGCGCAGCAGCGGTGTCACGTGGGAGCGCCGAGTCCCTCCCAACACCGCCCGCGCGGCCGCATTCTGGACCAGTTGGAGCCTCCGGGTGCTCCTCAAGGGGAGCCCCATGTAGAGAGCATTACAGTAGTCCAGGCGGGAGGTGACGAGGGCATGGGTGACTGTGCGCAAGGCGTCCCGGTCCAGAAAAGGCCGCAACTGGTGGATCAGGCGTACCTGATAAAACGCCCCCCTGGTCACGGCCGACAACTGGTCTTCCAGNAATAATAATAATAATAATAATAATAATAATAATAATAATAATAATAATAATAATAGTAGTAGTAGTAGTAGTAGTAGTAGTAGTAGTAATAGTAATAGTAATAGTAATAATAATAATAAAGTTGGAAGGGACTTTGGAGGTCATCTAGTCCAACCCCCTGCTCAGGCAGGAAACCCTAGACCATTTCAGACAAGTGGCTGTCCAGTCTCTTCTTAAAGACTTCCAGTGTTGGAGCATTCACCGCTTCTGGAGGCAGATTGTTCCACCAGTTAACTGTTCTAACTGTCAGGAAGTTACTCCTTAGTTCTAGGTTGCTTCTCTCCTTGATCAGTTTCCATCCGTTGCTTCTGGTCCTGCCTTCAGGGGCTTTGGAGAACAGCTTGACTCCCTCTTCTTTGGGGCAGCCCCTGAGATATAGGAAGACTGCTATCCTGTCCCCCCTCGTCCTTCTCTTCGTTAAACTAGACATTCCCAATTCCATCAACCGTTCCTTATATGTTTTACCCTCCAGTCCCCTAATCATCTTTGTTGCTCTTCTCTGCACTCTTTCTAGAGTCTCAAAATCTATTTTACATCGCGGTGACCAAAAATGGATGCCGTATTCCAAGTGTGGCCTTACCAAGGCCTTGTAAAGTGGTATTAACACTTCACGTGATCTTGATTCTATCCCTCTGTTAATGCAGCCTAGCACTGTGTTGGCCTTTTTGGCAGCTGCAGCACACGGCTGGCTCCTATTTAAATGATTGTCCACTAGGACTCCGAGTTCCCTCTCACAGTTACTACTATTGAAAGAGCCACTGAAAACTCCCTCTGGGGCTGATATGGACATTTACCTTCAGGTCTGGGGGCCCCCTTGGCCCTTCATCTGCACCCCCCATGACAGTTTAAGTTAACTCCAGTTGGGAGTCTGTTCAACTATCTTGCTAAAATGCTTTGCACCACCCTGTGACTGTTGGTTATCTCAGCTCTCGGGAGGGGGGGATAGAACAGGGTTTGTTTTTTTAATATTAAGTTTCCAGTCCTTATGAGGATACCAATGGCCACATGGGTAGGTCAAGAGGCCGAGAATGTTTGCAGGATGATTGGGGCTGAGCACCCATTCAGAGAGGAGACTGAAAAGGCAGTGGGACAGAATTTCCCGGCGGTGAGGACAATCAACCAATGGAACAGAAGATGTTGAGGGAGCTTCATCCCTGGACGCTTTTAAGAAAAGACTGGACTGCCACCTGTCAGAAATGGTGTAGGATCTCCTGCTTAGGCGGGGGTGGGTTGGACTAGATGACCTTACAAGGTCCCTTCCGACTCTGTTATTCTGATTCTGAATCTCAAACCCAAGTATGGTTTAAAAAAAAGGGTGAGATGGAGGTGCAGTTGAAGTTCCAGATTATTTATTAAATTTATATGCCGCCCATCTCCCCAATGAAACAACCCCAGGCGGTTTTACACAAAGATTAAAAAAAAATAAATACCAAATTTATGTGCACGGACATATAAAAATCACGGGGGAAACTGCCATTGCACCATCCTAGCTGCCATTCTAGACCTTTTCTTGCCCACAGTCTTGTTTACAAGCCCCCAACCCGGGACCCTCCGGTCTCCCCCAGCCCAGGGCCACTTACGCACGACGTCCCCAATCCGGCGCGCGTTGCTCTTCTCCAGCTCGGCCAGCACGCTCCGTTCGAAGGTGAGCGCGGCCAGACGGAAGAAAAACTCCCGGATGTTCTCGCCTGGGTGGAAGATGGAGAGGTGGTGGGGGGGGATCAGGGCGGGCAGCTCAGCCTTGGCTGGGCAGAGGCAGACCGCCCACCCGGGGTGGGGGGAGATGGGGAGAGTCAGGGCCTCTGGTCAAGATGGGGGGGGAGAGAAGGGCAGGGAGAGAGAAAGAGGATGATGGATAGGTAGATGGACAGACAGATATGAGAGAAAGGATAGATGAAAGAGAGACAGATGATAGATCAGTGATGGCGAACCTTTTAGAGACCCAGTGCCCAAACTGCAACCCAAAACCCACTTGTTTATCGCCGGGTGCCAGGTGGGCATGGCCCATTGGGTGGGCGTGGCTGTGGTGGTCATGGCAGACTGGGTGGGTGTGGCCAAGGTGGGCGTGATCACCTCAATGTTGCTCGTGGGGAGGGACACCTGTGGGGGCCGGGCAGGGTTGGGGGAGATCCAGGGGGTCTCTGGCAGGTGGGGCGGTGGGCAGGAGGCTCATCCTGCGGGGTGAGGCGAGGCAAGGCGAGGCAGGGTGGGGGTGCCATTGTCACAGGGCAAGGTGAGGCAGGGGCCGGGGCGGCTGCTGCCTGACACCATCGGCCCCTGCACACAGAGGCCAGCGAGCACATGGGTGCTAGGATGCATCCGGCCATTTGGGACCTTGGTGAGTTAGCGGGCGGCTGGTTGAAGAGGGACGGTTGCCATCTCCGGGGCATGGCGCACGTGCCCACAGAGAGGGCTCTGACTGCCACCTCTGGCACGCGTGCCATAGGTTCGCCACCACTGTGATAGGTGGATAACTAGACAGGTAAGTATGCAGGAATGTAAGAGAGAGAGAGAGAGAGAGAGAGAGAGAGAGACAGACAGACAGACAGACAGACAGACAGACAGACAGACAGACAGACAGACAGACAGACATGATAGGTGGATAGCTAGACAGGTAAGTATGCAGGAATATTGGAGAGAGGGAGAGAGAGAGAGAGAGAGAGAGGAGAGAAGGAGAGAGAGAGAGAGAGAGAGAGAGAGAGAGAGAGAGAGAGAGAGAGAGA